CCCAGTGGAAAATGGGTCTCACTCCAAGGAATTTCTTTCTTGTGTGGAGATCAAACCTTTCCTGTGGCACCTTGGAGCCTCTTCTCCTTGTCTTCTTCACGGGGTTCCTTGTGAAGAGAGATCTTCCTCCTCCTCCTCCTCCTCCTGCAGCCACCCCTAAAGGACTGGAAAACCACAGTGAGGGGATGGCTCTTGTGCAACCAAATCCTGTCCCTTTTCCTGGGGAAACTGGTGCATTCCCATGGGAATTTCCCGCAGGTCAGGAGCTTTTGGTGCAATTCCCTGTTGGAGGATGCTGGGCCAGATGGGGCAGACATGGACCCATCCTTGGGAGTGTCCAAGGCCAGGTTGGACACTGGGACTTGGAGCCACCTGGAATCGTGGGAGGTGTCCCTGCCCATGGGGTTGGATCTGGGTGGGCTTTGAGGTCCCTTCCCACCCAAACCATTCCATGATTCCATGACTGTGGCACGGGGCGCGAGCGTGCGAACGCCGGTGGTGGCTTAGATCTGGTTCCAGGAGCTCTGGCAGGGCTTGCAAACCGTGTTTGGAGTCAGTTTGGATTCACATTCCAGTGCTCCTGGCTTGGCTGGGAGGATTCCATCCAGATTCCACGCTGTCGTCAGACAGAACAAACTGTCCCTGCTCTCCTTCCCATCTGGAGGGGGACGCGGAGCCCAACCACGGCCTGGTCTCCTCCTGCAGGGACCTTCCAGCCATCCTCGACCTCTGCTTGAGGTGAAGGGCGTGAAAACTTGTCTGCTTGGATAAAAAGGAGGTTTTTTGAAGAGTTTGAGGTGGTGACGTTGCAAGGGGGAGAGAAAAGGAAGTGGTTTTGAGGTAGAACTGGTGGTTGGATTTGATGATGTGAAAGGTCTTTTCCAGTTTAAATGATTCCGTGATTCCATGAAATGGGGGGGAAAGTTCTTCCTAGGGGAACCAGGGACAGGGCTGGGAACCGGTTCCCAGTTTAATTATTTCATTCCAACATTTCCTCCTCTTGAATTCTACACTTCAATTTGGATGCAAGCTCATGTATGTGTATAAAACCAATTTTAGAGCTTTTTAATACCTTTTTTTCTGGCATTTTTTTCAAACCATCCTCTACTTCTCCGTTTTTATAAAGCTGTACCTGCACCTCTCCCTGCTCCTCCTCAAGGTGTTCTTGGAACCCTGGGAAGCTGCAAGTCCCCAGCCCCGAGCACATCTGCAGCTTCCTGATCTTATCCCACTCCCACATCACCGTGGTGAAAGCTCCTTTTAATTTTTTCCTCCTCTTTTTTTCCCCTTTCCCTCCTCTCCTTTTCCTTCCCCCCCCCATGCCCCAGTGGATGTGCTGTCGAGTTTGATTTATGGCCTTGAAAGGGAGACTCCAGTTTAAAGAATTAATGGTATTTGCATATTTGATTTGGAAACTCCCCCGGCAGACCCGCGGCAGCCCCGCGCCGCCGGCTCTTTTTTCCTTTTCCCTTTTTTTCCTTTCCCCTCGGCCCGTTCAGATTTAGCAGCAGAGGTGAAAAGTTGAAGCAGTAAAACCAATAAAACCACATTTATGTGACAGATAAATCGTCTGGAGGCAGCTCTCCCTGAGCCTTCGGGCTTCCTCCTGCAGGACCTCTCCCCTCCGGAGCGCGACCCGCAGCTGGGCCGGGAGCGCCGGCAGCCAGGGCCAAAGGTGCTGGCCCCGGCCGTCCGCGGACCTGCCGAGCCAAAAAAGATGGATGTGGGCAAAGAGTTGGAAAATACACAGCCCATCCGTCACTGTCGGGAGCCACCTGGGGGTGGTCTGGCTCTGCGAGAGCTCCGGGAAGGTCCAGGCTGAGGTGGGAGCGCTGGGAGTCACGGAATCAATATGGTTGGAAAAGCGCTCGAGATCGAGTCCAGCCTTTCCTCAGCACTGCCAAGGCCACCGCTGATCTACATCCCCAAGTGTCACGTCCTTCAAATCCTTCCAGGGACAGGGCCTCCATCAGGTTGGAGAGCCCTTTCCATGGGGAAATTCCTGCTGATGCCCACCCTGAGGCCGTTCCCTCTGCTCCTGTCCCTGTTCCCTGGAGCAGAGCCCGACCCCCCGGCTGTCCCCTCCTGGCAGGAGCTGTGCAGAGCCACAAGGTCCCCCTGAGCCTCCTGTGCTCCAGGCTGAGCCCCTGCCCAGCTCCTCAGGAATTCTCCAGCCCCTTCCCAGCTCCATTCCCTGCCCTGGCCATGCTCCAGCCCCTCAGGGTCTCTCTTGTTGGGAGAGGCCCAAATCTGCCCCAGGATCTGAGGCTGTGCAGTGCCAGCACAGGGACAGGCACGGCCCTGGTCCTGCTGCCACCCCAGTGCTGGCACAGCCCCGGTGCCCTTGGCCTCCTCGGCCACCTGGGCACACCTGGGCTCGTGTGGAGCTGCTGCCGATGGCTCCAGGTCACTGGATTTTCTCTGCCAGTGGGAGCCATTCCCTGTGTGCTGTCCCTGCAGGCCTTGTCCCCAGTCCCTCTGCAGCTCTCCTGGAGCCCCTCCAGGCCCTGCCAGGGGCTCTGAGCTCTGCCTGGAGCCTTCCCTTCTCCAGGGAACATTCCCAGCTCTCCAGCCTGGCTCCAGAGCAGAGGGGCTCCAGCCCTGCAGCAGATCCCTCTGAGCTCCTGCACTGCTCCCAAGCCTCTGCCAGAACAACTCCCAACATTTTAATTCCATCTTCTCCAAACCCTTCCTAATCCTCCCTTTTTTTTATTTCCTTTCCTCCTTCATCCCTTTCCTCCTGGCTCTTTATTCCCCCTCCACACAAACGGCTACCTGGCCCCTGGATGCTCCGGCCACGCACTTTCCATGGCAAGAACTCGTTCAGGCTTTGTTTGGGATTTGCCCGAGGCACGTTCAGCCTCCCGGGGGCCACCAGCAAGAGGTCTTTGCCGCGTTGTGGGGGTTCCCTTTGAGCCTGTACAACCAAGCGACTCCTCCCAGCAGCCGCCAAACCCCGCGGAAGCGTTTTGGCCCCGGCGCTCGGCCTGAAAAGCGCCTGTGAAATCATATTTAAGGTTGTCTCTCTCGAAGGTGCCCCCTTGGAAAAACCTCCTGCCAATGATGTTCAGCTCGGGTTTGTAGTTCAACACAAAGGCCCCGCCGGACAAAGCCGAGCGGGACCCGGGCTGGAAAAGCCCTCTTAGGTCCCGGCTAATCCATCCCCCCCGCCAGCCCGGGGGATTGTTCCCGACAGCTTGTTTTCCTTGCCCTGACCTACATAGTCAAAAAGAATCTTGTTGCACATTTTTGTTTTGTATCTGGAGGTCTCGGAGGAGCTAAATCCCCTTCTTGGCGGGGCAGGATGCGTTGTTAAACAGCGCCGGGGCCTCCAGGAAAACCATGGCGACGCGGGGACAATGAGGCCTCTATGGGCCCCGCTTGGCCGCGGGACGGGCCCGGCCTCTCCCGGCTCCGGTGGTGGGCACCGGGACGCGCCGAGCGGGCGATGAAGACGTCCACGCGCTTGGCAGCCTGTCCCCAAATAGAGTGGTCACAGCGGCGCTCCAAGACGGGATCTTTGGGAGGGGGGAACGGCAGGAGCTCTTAATTAACCTGCTGCGGATGGGGCAGAGGTGAAGGCGGCATCCCGGGAATCCTGGGCCGTGCCCCTGTGGGTGGGTGGAGAAGACAAGTCCTCGTCGAGGTGAGGAGATCCTCATGTGGGGAGGGCAGGGGAGAGCCTGGTTTTTAAGGAAAACAAGGATGGGAATGGTGTGGGAAGAGGGCATTTAGGGAACTTGGATTGTGTCGTCATGGGTGAATGGAGAAGCCAAGTCCTCGTCAAGGTGAGGAGATCCTCATGTGGGGAGGGCAGGGGAGAGCCTGGTTTTTAAGGAAAACAAGGATGGGAATGGTGTGGGAAGTGGGCATTGGACTGTGCCTTCATGGGTAAGTGGAGAAGCCAAGTCTTCATTGAGGGGAGGAGATCTTCATTGGAGGAGGGCATGGCAGCTCCTGGTTTTTTAAGGAAAATAAGGATAGGAGCAGTGTGGGAAGAGGACATTTAGGGAACTTGGGCATTTAGGGGACATCTCTAACCCATGGGTCAGGGATGGATGTGGAAATGCTGGGGGATGGTTGGATTTGGTGACCTTGGAGGGCTCTTCCAGCCAGAATAATTCTGTGGCGCACAGTGAATCCGTGCCCTCGTGGGTGGGTGGAGAAGCCAAGTCCTCACTGAGGTGAGGCGATCCTCATGTGAGGAGGGCATGGCAGCTCCTGGTTTTTTAAGGAAAATAAGGATAGGGACGGTGTGGGAAGAGGGCATTTGGGCAACCTGGGCTGTCGTTTGCCCATCCCTCACCTGGCTGGGGGGAGCGGGGTCATTTGTGGGCACGAAGGGCTGCGGGTGGGAATTTTGGCGCTCTGGAGCAGGGGCCGTCACGGATGGCCGAGTTAATCCCTTTTCCTTCCCCCGCTGCCAAGGCCTGGTGGTTTCTCTTACCAACGTCTGGAAAGCACCTGGGACTCCCAGCTCCGGGAGCTGCACTCACCCAGAATAACCCCCCGAGCTCCTCTGGGCTTTGGAGGCACTTCCAGAGCACTTGGAGGGGGTTGGGATGGGCCCAGGGTGGTGAGAAATCCATGAGGAATGGTTGGAACGACACTGGGGGTTGTTTGGGGGCAGAAGAAGTTTGTGGTGATTTTGACCCCAAAAGTTTCCTCCTGCCATAGCTGAGAGTGTCAGGGCACTGGGGTTGTTTGTCACCCACGTCCTCGAGGTGTCTCAGACCTCAAATCCCCAAAATTAGGGATCACAGAGCAGCAATGCTCTAATACAGCCCTGCATTAATCAATGTAAAGTATTCATAAGTTAATAATGAAGTGCAATCAAGTTGATGATGAAACCTAAACAAAATAATATGAAACAAATTAATAAAACCTGCATTCATTTTTTTTATGGACAACTCCACCTGCCCAGGACCTCCGCCAGCTTCCAGGGAAACACCTGCTGCCTTTTCCAGCTTTTTCAAACCCCGTTTGTTTTTCCTTTCCAGCTCCTGGATCTGTTCATCCAGTGGGATTGGTCGACGTATTTGGCCGACTACGGACAGCCCACGTGCAAGTACCTTCGTGTGAACCCCACCACAGCCCTCATCCTGCTGGAAAAGTGAGTGTGGCCCCCAAATCCCGGGACAATTTCCACCCCCATCGTGCTTTAGCAGCTCCTTCCATTGCTGTGAGCAAAGATCTCGGCCCTGGGTGGACAGAGGGAGCTCACACGGAAAAATCCCATTTTATCTCGTCAACCCAAATCCCACATTTCAAAATCCAACAGCTTGGCTGCGGGTCCTTCTTTTTATTGGCTCTTAAGCAGAGTTTTCCTTGTCCTACCAGAAAATTTCGCTGTAAAGATGAACCTCCAGCTCCAAAATCCTTTCAAATGTGCTGGGCTGCAGGCAGGAGTGGCTATCCCGAATTTTTCAGTGTTTGGGCAATGCCACGAACAATTTTGGTCATGAAATGGTTGGGCCACTTTGTTGTAGGTTCCCTTCCACCTGAGAATATTCTATTTTATTCCATTCTTTTTCTGTATTTCTATTTCTTTTTATTTCTACATTTCTATTTCTATATTTTGAATTTTATTTATGTAGTTCTGTTTATATTTATTTCTATATTTCTATTTCTATTTACTTCTATATTTATTTCTATTTCTGATTTTTATTTTTAATTAGGCTTAAATTTCTGTAGTTCTGTATTTATATTTCTGTGTATTTCTTTTAAAATGTATTTATATTTCTATATTTTTACTACATTTCTATAGTTCTGTTTATTTCTATATTTACTTCTATTTCTGTATTTTTATTTCTACATTTCTGTTTTTTTTATTTCTATTCCTGTATTTTTATTTCTATGTTTCTATTTCTATGTTTCTATGTCTATATTTTTATTTGCCTTTATTTCTATAGTTCTATTTTTTCTGGTTTTATTTCTATTTCTGTAATTTTTATTCCTACATCTCTGTATTTCTTTATATTTCTATTTCTATATTTCTATTTCTATCCTTTTATGTATTTTTATTTCTATATTTCTATTTCTTTCTATTTTTCTTTCTATTTCTAGATTTTATTTCTATTATATTTCTATTTCAAGATTTTATTTTCTATTTGTTTCCATTTCTGTTTTTTTATCTCTATTTCTGTATTTCCATATTTCTATATTTCTATATTTCTGTATTTCTATATTTCTGTATTTATTTCTATATTTCTGTATTTTTATATTTCTATATTTCTATATGTCTATATTTCTGTATTTATTTCTATATTTCTATATGTCTATATTCTATAATTCTGTATTTATTTATATATTTATATATTTTTATATTTCTATATATCTATATGTCTATATTTCTGTATTTATTTCTATATTTCTATATTTTTATATGTCTATATTTCTATATTTATTTCTATATTTCAATATTTCCATATATCTATATTTCTATATTCCTATTTATTTCTATTTCCACATTTTTATCTCCACTTCTACTTCCATTTTTTTCCCCGTTCCTATCCCTCTCTACATCTTTATTTCCATTTCTTTCCCTTCTCGGGGGCTCCCTCAATCCATCCTTTGAGGCCCGCCGTTCACATGCTCCTCACGGCTCCATCCCAAGCCCTGGAGCGGTGCCGGGAACAGCGCCCGGGGCTCCGGGGTGGCTCCCGGGGGGCTCTGCCAGTCCTGCGGGCCGGCAGCGAGCCGGGAACGCCGCGGGATTTGCCGCAGGCCCCAGGAAAAGCGGGATTTGCTCTGCCTGTCACCCCTGCCCGTGGTGGGTCTCCCAGATGATCTCCGCTGGTCCAGCTCCAAGCTGGCTTGGGAAGGATCCACTCTGCTCCCGCTCCCGGCAGACCTCCCAGCTCGTTTTGCAGCTGGTGGGACGGAGAATGAGCCAAAAAGTGGGAATTTAGCGTTTTTCCGAGCGGCTCCTGGCACGGGCGCTGCAGTGCTGGGTCCTGCATGGAGGAGAGGGCAGGAGGGGATCCTCGTGGAATCATGGAATGGTTTGGGTGGGAAAGGGACCTTAAAGCCCATCCAGTTCTGTGGGCAGGACATCTCCCACTGTCCCAGGCTGCTCCAAGCCCTGCCCAGCCTGGCCTTGGACACTTCCAGGGATGCAGGGGCCTGGAATGTTCTTCTGGAAGTGTGGCCCCAACCCCAAACTCGTCGCCTCCTCCTCGAGGAGAAAGGGAGACCCCAAATCGCCTCAAACTGCTCCCCATGCTGCGATTCCCTGGTTAATCCAAACCCAGCTGCACCCATGGAAGCACCCAAGGCCGGGTTGGATGGGCTTGGAGCACCCTGGGACAGTGGTGGCACGGGGGTGGCACTAGATGGGCTTTAAAGATCCCTTCCAGCCCAAATTATTCTCGGGGTCTCTGGTTCTGTGAGCGACCTTGGGGTGTTTGTGAAATTTGGAGTTCCCTGTCTGTCATCATGGTCCAGCTCCTCTCCACCAGAGGAGAAGGACGGATGTCACAGCACCTCAGGACACCCCGAGGGCACCAGTGAGGACACGGGGGCTAAACTGGCTTTAAAAGGACTTTCACACCTCATGGTGGTGTTTTTGTACTGGTGTTTTATGGGTTGTGCTATCCCCGGGTTATTCGGGAATGGGTGTGGAAATGCTGGGGATGGTTGGATTTGGGGACCTTGGAGGGCTCTTCTAGCCAGGATGATTCTGTGATACACAGCGAATTCGTGACCCAGCGTCCAGGATGGGAAAGTGAGAGCTTTATTCAGAGCTAACAGCAAACTGCTAAAATAAAGGGACACCCAAAATCTGGGAGTTTGGCCATGCAGTATTTGGGAGAGCCAGGGAATTGAGGCAGGCAGTGAGCTGGGATCGTGGCAGAGGCTGGGAAGGTGGTGGGACAGCAGGAGAGCAGCTCCACGCTCAGTGGTGTTAAAATGTCACCAAACCCCAGCCTGGCTCATTTCATAGTGTCATAAAATCATGGAATGATTTGGGTCCTCTGTGGGTTTGTTGTGGGATCAGGGCTCCAGCTGCAATCCCTTTCCATCCTGATATGAGGTTTATCCAGCTCCTTCCCAGTCATCCCAACGAACCCCAAGGTTTTCTCCCTGAGGGGTCTCTGTCCATCCCCCACGAGCTCTCCTTGCTCCAGGCACATCCGCTGCCTCCCATCCCGCCGGGAATTCCGGGGGGGAATTCTGAGCGGGGGCCGGCTCAGCCTGTAACCTGTTCTCCTGGTTATCTCTGTCCCTTATCACCCCGGTGCGTCTCTCTCTCCCAGGATATCCCGGGTGTAAGTATGCGCTCGCTCGGGCTTTCACCCTCACCTGGCAGGGCCCCGATTGTCCGCTCTCAATGGAGCCCGAAACGCTGGAATTGCAAAGTGCCTCTGGAGCGGGGCCCTGCGCAACCCGATCCTCCCAAATGCACTAATTAGAGCTAAAAGAGGAGCTTTTACCCCGCTGCTTTCTTCCCCTCCCGGATTAATTGAGACAAAGCTCGGCTCTCTCCGAGGTGGTGTTTGTTGACAGGGGTGGGGACAGCGCCGAGCTCGCCTTTCCCTTCCTTTCACTCCTAATCCTGGGACCGGCTTCCAAAGCCGCGGTTATCCCGAGGCTCTGCTCGGAGAAATAAAACCGGGGAGCTGCACAGCCCGTCCCAAATCCTGCAGGATTTTCTGTCCTGTAGGTAGCTTAATTAATTCGTAATATTTAATGTCTCAGTGCTTGTATCTTCACGTGGTGTCTGGAGGTCCCAGCAGCTCCCAGATGCTCCCAGACTTTTCCAGATCCACCTCTGTGGGTTTTGTTAATGGCTCTCCAAGCTATCCCAAAGCTCTGCGTAGGAAAAAAACCCCATGGATCTGCTCAGCCCAACCCAAATCCTGCAGGATTTTCTGTCCTGTAGGCACAGAATTCTGTGTCCTGCATCCTAATTAATTAATAATGGCTAATAACTCAGTGCTTGCACCTTCACGTGGTGTCTGGAAATTCCAGCAGCTCCCAGGCTTCACCAGATCCACCTCTGTGGGTTTGTTAATGGTGCTCCCAGTCATCCCAAAGCTCTTCTCAGGGAAAAAAACCCTCATGGATCTGCGCAGCCCATCCTGAATCCTGTAGGATTTTGTGTCCTGTAAGCAACTTAATTAATTAATAATGGTTAATGGCTCAGTGCTTGCACCTTCACATGGTGTCTGGAGGTCCCAGCAGCTCCCAGATGCTCCCAGACTTTTCCAGATCCACCTCTGTGGGTTTGTTGTGGGATCAGGGCTCCAGCTGCAATCCCTTTCCATCCTGATCTGAGGTTTATCCATCCAGCTCCTTCCCAGTCATCCCAACGCACCCCAAGGTTTTCTCACATGGAATGTGCTCTGCTTCCAGAACATTCCCTGGACCTGAGCAGGTCCCACAGGGTGGGAGATGGCCCCAGAGGTGCGGGATGGAAAAGCTCCAAATTCCCAGTATGTGGAAGGGCTGGGAAGAGCTTTCCAAAGGTACAGATCAACTTCCAGCACCTCTGATGTCCCTCTGGAACCCAGGAGAGCTCCCAGCCTTCCTGGGGAAGGGCTTGGAGATCTCCTGGAGCTCTTTGGAGCTCCAGGGAAGGATAATTATCCCCAAATCCACGATAGCAGGACCTGGGCCACTCCAAACTCTGCTCCCTGCTGGCACAATCACTCCCTGGTTCTCCTGGAGGAGCAGCTGCCAACCTGCTCCGGCTGAAAAACAGGGAAAAACAAACAAATCCCAATTTTTGATGACTGGAAGTGCTCCAAGCTCTCCTGTTCCTGTTGGGAGAGCAGCTCCGTCTCTGGTAACCCCAGTAAATTTTCCTTTGGGATAAAGTTGTTATCCTGGATTCCACTTCCAAGCCTGGTGTTTTTAGGAAACATTTCAGATTCCCTGTGGCTCTTTCTAGGAGACTGAAGCCTGGAAAACCTTGGATGTTTGTTTGTGTTCCCGAAGTTTGGAGAGGTTGGGGTTGTGCTCAGTTGACTCCAGACCCTCGGGATGATCCAGTGCCAGCTTCCCAGGGATCATCAGCGCCGTGTCCCTGTCACTTCAACACTTCCTTTAGGTCCCCGCAGCCAAAAACTGGGATTATGGGATGCATCCAAAGCCCTCAGCCTCTGCCAGATCTGATTTACCCAGAAAATCTTTTACAAATTGGGATAATTTGGAAGAGCCAAGCCCCAGCAGGTTGGATTTTGGGAGGTTGTGCCTTCAGGAGCTGCTGGAAGGTCGATCCTGGTGGGATTTTTTTCCCTTCCCAGCACCCTTGGGAAGTGTCCCAAGCCCTTTTTCCCTCCAAAATATGGATCTGGGAATGCAGGAGTGCACGACACCCCCCCCAGCTTTGCATGTGGGGTCCCATCCCACCTCCTGCTCTGCTGGGCTCTGGATTTATGGAGACCTCCTGGAGAAGCTGTGCTCCTTCCAAACAGCTGGATTCCTTCCTGGAATGGGAATTATTCCATGTTATATTTAATATAAATTATGTACATTTATATAATTCATATTTTTTTTATTCATTGGGAAAAAATGGGATAGTGGACCCCCCCATGGAAGGGGGTTGGAAACAGATGGGATTTAAGGTCCCTTCCAACCCAAACATTCCATGATTCCCTGGAATATTTTATCAAATTTAAACTCACAACTCCAGACCTTCCCAGCCTCCCCTGAAGCTGCATCTCATGCATGCAGGTTTTAGGTAAAAAACCTTAATTCTGTGGATTTCGTGCTGATTTTCAAATTTCCTCCTCAAATTCCATCACCACCACAGAAGGTGACATGGGGATGGAAAAATCCCTGTCTGGAAGAGGGATCCAAATGCAGGATTTAGGATTTCCTGCATTTGGGAATTAGGGAGATACCTCAAAGTGGCGTTGATTTGGATTAGAGTGGTTTAAAGTAAAAATACCTGAAAATTTCCAAAAAAATTTGGTGTGGAGCCTGGAGATTCCATGTGCTCCTCTCAGACCACTGGATATTCCCAATCCCTGTTCCATAACCTGTTTGTGCTCCAAGCAGGATGCGGGACACCAGCAGGAAAAACAACATTTTCACCCAGTTCCAGAAAAAAGAGTGGGAACAGGGGAGACCCCAAAGTGGTGTTGGTTGGGATCAGAAGGATTTGAAGCCTGAAAAATGCCCCAAAGTTTGGCGTAGAGCCTGGAAATTCCATGTACTGCTCTCAGACCACTAAACATTCCCAATCCCTGTTCCATAACCTGTTTGTGCTCCATGCAGGATGCGGGACACCAGCAGGAAAAACAATGTTTTTGCCCAATTCCAGAAAAAAGAGTGGGAATTGGGGAGACCCCAAAGTGGCATTGATTGGCATGAAAAATGCCCCAAAAATTGGAGTAGAGGCTTGAAATTCCATGCCCTCCTCTCAGACCGCTGGACATTCCCAATCCCTGTTCCATGACCTGTTTGTGCTCCATGCAGGATGCGAGACACCAGCAGGAAAAACAACGTTTTCGCCCAATTCCGGAAAAACGAGCGGGACAAGCAGAAGTTGATCGACACCGTGGCCAAGCAGCTGCGCGGCCTCATCAACAGCCACCACTCCTGAGGGGCTCGGGATCTCCTTCCCGCAGCCTGGACTTCGGGAATCTCGTTGGGAGAGAAGATTTGTATTTTTTTATTCGCCTGGAAAGTCTCCGCAGAGCCTCCCCCCGACGGCAAAACGCTCCCGGTGGAACAATCCTGGGAAAAGACGTGGTGGCAGGAGTCTCCTGGATAAACTCCTATTTTCAGGGGTTTAGGAAGTGATGGGAATTCTTGGAGCCTGGGAGAAGTTCACACCTGGACTGGGTTTTGGTTTTTTTTTTTGTCAAAGCCAAATTGAAGGGATCATCCTGCCTTCCTTTTGTTAATTTATTCCCTTGGAAAACTGAGAAATGTGGGAAGAGCCGTGGGTTCTCTGGGCAGAGGGAAGAGGGTCACCCTGAGTGTGCCCTGTGGTTTGGATTTAGGTAGGAAAAAGGGATTTCCCAGGGTTTTTTTCTCCTCTTTTCCCCCTCCATGGGCTGATTCCACGTTAGTCTGCAAATCCCTGGAATCGCGACCCTTTCCCACGTGTCCGTAACCATCCCTGAGCTCCACTCCGGGACCTGCCAGGGGCTGTGGGATCACAGAGAAGGGTTTGGAGCAGCCTCCTTGATCGGATTTGGGAAGGGACAGCTGGAGGATAATCTGGGAATGTGTCCTGTGGCAGCACTCCGGGGCTGGGATGCTGCTGGACACATCCATGGATGGGGAACGGGAAGGGATGGATGCTCCACAGGGATGGTGGGAAGGCACACTGGGAACTCCCGGTGTCCAGGAGGGGTTTTTCCCTCTCTTTTCCCTGCTGGTGTCCCATCCTCCCTCTCTTCCTGATGGCTCCATGGGGAAAACGTCCCTCAGCCACCCTGGTTGGAGCTGGATCAGTGGGAATCTCCTGGACACATCCATGGATGGGGAGCAGGAAGGGATGGATGCTCCACAGGGATAGAAGGAAGGCACACTGGGATGTCCAAGGAGGGACAGATTCCCAGAGAGGGAAGGATTTTCCCTCTCTTTTCCATGCTGGTGTCCCATCCTCCCTCTCCTCCTGATGGCTCCATGGGGAAAACTGCCCCGGGAAGTTTTGCAGCTGGACCAGTGGGAATCTCCTGGAGCAGTGGGAGATTCCCCATGGAGCAGCGCGGCTCCAAAGTGCCTGTGGATAAAATTCCCCCTGTCCTGAAGGTCCCCAGAAATCCTCTGCTCAAACCAGGCGGCCACCAACAGGATTTAATCCCAGGATTCCACTTCCAGAGGGGGATTTTCGCCCTTCCCATCTTGTCACCCTTTTGCCTCTAATTCCTCACGTTATCCAGCCACATTCCCAAACCCTCAAAGGGAATTCCGATCTCCCTGGTGGTTGTTGCAGCCCTGAACTGCTGCTCCCGTGCCCATTCCCAACCCTCTGGATGCACCAATCCAGAGGTTTTACCTTCCTGCCTTGCTCCTCAGCAATATTCCGGGGTTGGTTTTCATTAGGAGAAGGTTCCTTTGGCTCAATCCCAAAATTAAACGGGAACACTGTCAGGAATGACCTCCTGGAGCTCTTGGGCTGTCCCAGCCATCTCCAGCTACGGGGACCAAGGGATTGTTTTCATTAATAAGAGGGAAAATTTGTAATTCCTTGGATTTGGAGAGGGATGGGGGGTTCCTTGTGGACTCCTCCCAGAGGGATATGGAAGAGGAATGACGGGAAAAGCAGCAGGTGAAGGAAAGTTGGAGTCAGCGTGGCCAGAAAGGGATCAGCTTTGGAGCCAGAGGGACAAGGGATGGGAATTCTGTGAGGGGGATGGAGAGGGAGCAGAAACCCTGGGACAAAGGGAAGGGATTTTGTGCTGCCATCCTGAAATTCCATTTTCCCTTCCTATATTGCACTCCACGAGGTATTCCCACAAAAAATCCCCAGCACAGCCGAGGCAAGGTCTCGTTTCAGATGCTCCAGGCAGCTCCCACCCTTCCCAAATCCCATTTTGGGGAGCTGGGCTCCCCTTCCCATCTCCCTGAGCTGTAATTCCAGGAGCAGCCGCCTGGGATGGGTTTCCTCGCTCCTTCAGGTTCTTTTTGGAAAAACCAGGATTGGGATCCCCCAAACCGGCTCCTGGCACTCGGGATTTGCCGCTGGGAAAGTCAAATCCGGCCAAGGGAGAGATTCTGGGAGTTCCTGATCTCGGGAGGTCAAGAGCCGGAACCGCAAGTCAGAGCCCGGGATGAAAAATGGGATTTTGGGACTCTGGTCCCAATTAACTTTTTGTTCCAAAAGATGTTCCATCACTTCCAAACAAAATTAATCTTTTAAACAGATTGCCCAAAAAAAAAAAAAAAAGAGCCCTGGAAGACATCCCAAATCCCCTCTCAGTCCCTTCCTAATGATGGGTGTCCTCCGACACGGATGGAATTGCTTAGGAGGGAAAAGTCGCTGCAGGGAATTTAAAAGGGGGGTGGGAAACGGGGGCAGGAGCCAAATCCGAGATTTCCAGCTTCCCAGAAAAAAATAGTGCTGCTCCTACACCTCGCTCCACATCCACTGAACATTCCTTAGTGGATTTTGTTTTTTAAGAAAATTGGATTATCCCGTAATTTTTCCCAGCTCCAGCAAAAAATATTTCAGCAGCAGTGGGGAAAAAATTATATTAAAACTCAAATTTGGCTTCCCAAGAAGCTTCTTTCCTTCTTAAGTTGTCAGGCATTCCAGGAGTTGGGAGTAATCCCATTAAAGGTGTCCAAAGTGGGAATTTGCAGCCCAACCCACCCATGGGATGTTCTCCTTGAGCCACCAGCACCTGGGAGGTGGGAAAGGAGGGGTTTTCCTGGGATTTTTGGGTATTCCTGGGGCTGGAGTTCGAGCCAGATGCTCCCAGTGATTTTTGCACTTTGTTCCAGATCCAATCCCAGCTCCCGCTCGGATGGGGACGGGAGGAGTTGGGATGATGCTGTTTTGGGGTTGTTTTCTCCCGGATTGGCTGCTTTGGGAAAGGTGGAATTTCGGACAGGAGCTGTGGGCAGGGTCGTGGTGGCCCCAGATTCCTTGGAAGTGAGGCTGGGATGGAGCTGGGGTGGCTCCGGGGGCATTGCTGCTGCCACATCCCTTGTGCCGAAGTTTTGGGATCAAATTCCAACCCGAATCCAAATCCCAGGCAGAGATTCCTCACCCTTGGGTGGCTGCTGCCTCCGCTGGGCTTTTCCCGTTAGTTCTGGGTTGGGTTTGGTGCTTTTTGGGGCCCTGGAGGAGTTTGGAGCATCCAAACACTCTCCCATGCTCCGGCTGGATTCGTGTCCCACCCCTGGGTGCCGTAGGATTTTTGGGATCTCTATCCCATTTTTCCTACAGCTCCACGGGGCTGGAGACCCCTCGCATCCCCCCGGGATGATTCCATGTTTATCCCACTGCTGGCAGTGTTCCAAGAGAACACAAATCCCATAAATCCCATCCCAGTGACTCTGGGATGATCCCAGCTCTGCTGTCCACTGGGAACGCCGTGGATCGGCAGGAAGCAACCCAAAACCACCAGGATTGGCTGGGATTCACCCCAAAAATTCCAGGATGGAGTGGGGGAGCTCAGGGGGGGCTTGCTTCACCCCAAAGCTGCTGCTCCAGCCCCTCTCTTGCCCCCAGGGCTGGATTTGGGAAGCTTTTCCCAGAGCTGGGATCCATCCCCATCTGCAGCTTCCCAAAAATTCCATGGGCTGCTCTGGAATGCTGTCCTATCCAAGCTGCTCCCTGCCTTGGCTCATCCCTCAGATTCTGTTTTGCCAGGAAAACCACCCACACTCCCATCCCATCCCATCCCATCCCATCCCTCCCTGCCCGCCGGCTGCCAGGGTTGCCTTTTCCCGTTGATTTTGGGGTGGAAGGACCTGATTTTGGGAACCAAGGTGGTGAAAACAGCTTTTTTTGCACAAGTCGTTGCACAATAAGGGGAAAATTTAGCAAATTAGTTTTAACTTTAAAGGGAATTTTGTTGTTGGTTTGTTTGTTTTTTTTTTTCCTTAAAACTCGCTAGCAGAGCTACTGAATCCAAGAGGAAAAAGTGCTGGAATGGTTGGAGAAAGGACTGCATGGTTTACAGGTTCAATTCTGTTAGAAATTAGCATGTTGGACATTTATCCTGGTGTAATTCCAATTAAACAAATACAGCATTTAACTGTTTCATTAATGCCTCGTCCGGCTCTGTGCATCCCTGGGGAAAAACCTGACCCCTGAATCCCATAAAGGACAAAATTCCACATCTCCTTTGGACACCTGGCTGCTGGAACACTCACATGGGGGATCCAAGGGGAAGAAAATCTCTGGATGAGCATTGGATTCCACCCTCCCTCACTGCCCTGAGCAGAAGCCAAGTTTTGCCCAAATTTTGGGGGGATTTTAATTGGTTTCTATCAAAAAATTCCTCCCTGGAAAGGCGGGGAGGGGCTGGGCTGGAATTCCCAGATTTGCTGTGGCTGCCCCTGGATCCCTGGCAGTGCCCAAGGCCAGGTTGGACATTGGGGCTTGGATCCACCTGGGACAGTGGGAATTGTCCTTGCCCATGGAACTGGTTGGGATTTAAAGTCCCTTTCCCATCCAAACCATTCCATGATTCTGGAGTTGTGGAGATTTCACGGAATGGCTCAAGCAGATGATGTGGGGTTTGTGTAGGATGAAGGATTTTGGGAATATCCGTGGGATGGCAAAGATTCCTGGATGGTTTGTATTCCATGGATTCCTCTAAATGCCTTTGCTCAGCCCTTTCTCCCTGTTGGTTTCTGGCAGATCCTGGGGCGGGCATTCCCAGGTGTTAATTTGGAGCAGTGGGAAGGAAACGTTCCCTGGAGTTGTTGGTGACTCCACCTCTGCCAGGGGCCTTTCCCCACAGGAGAGGGGAGAAGGAGGGTGGGAATCTGGGAAAATCCTGGAAAATTTCTGGACAGTTCCTGGTAAGGGAAAAAAAAGGGGAAAGCTCCATCTCCTCCCACAGCAAGTCCAGGAAGGACCCAAAAATCCAGGAAACCCCCCAGCACCTGAGTTAAGGATCCTGTGATCTGTCCTGTCCCCTTTTCCTGGTGAATTTTGGGATGCTCCAGGTGGGAGATGGAGATGTGGGGATAGGACGTGGTCCAGGACTCTGGGACCTTGGTGGGAGATGATGGGAAGGGATCTTGGATCATCCTGGATCAGTGGATCCCAGACCTTCATGGATCAGTGAATCCTGGTCTTCCTGGATCAGAGGATCTCAGAAAACCATTGATCAATGGATCTCAGACCTTCCTGGATTAATGGATCTCAGACAGTCCTGGATCAGTGGATCCTGGATTAATGTATCTCAGACTGTCCTGGATCAGTGGATCCCAAATCATGCTGGATCAGTGGATCCCGGATCATGCTGTGTCAGGGAGTGCAGCCCGGGTGGGTTTTGGGGCACGGATCTGGGGTGCTGCAGCGGCACCGGTGTCACCCTGGCTGTGGCCAGGCCCTGAATGGGTGCCCGGAGCGGGGCCAAACCTCAGCGGGGCCCCGTGGCTCCCCTGGGCCAGCTCTGCCACCAGCACTGTCACCCTCGAATCCTCGGGACACCCCTCGTGTCCTCACTGTCCCCCTCGTGTCCTCGGGACACCCCAGCCCAGCCCTGAGTTCCAGCCCCAGGGATGCGTTGCCAGCCCAGTTTTCACCAAATCATGGAATGTCCTGGTGGGAAGGGACCCACAGGGATCACCCAGCCCCGCTCCTGGCCCTGCCCAGGACACCCCAACCACCCCAGGAGCCACCCCAAGCAGGGAGGTTTTCCTTTCCTCCTGGTTTTCCCTGATCCAGGCGAGACAAAGGTTTTCCAGCAGCTGCTCCCGAGCGTTCCTTCCCGGCTGCCACGGTCCCTTCTCGCCCTGACCTCGGTTCACCTCCTCGCCTCCTTCCCGGTGGGATCAGCTGAGGCTGCAGGAGGTGGAGCTGCCGGCTGAGTTTGACTCCTCCGGGTGGGATTTGCCTCCTCCAGGGAGCCCTGGGGACGTGGCAGGAGAAGGTTTGGGATGTCGGGAGATGCCCTCACCCACCTGTACGGGGTGGTTTTCCCATGGTGTCCCACGGGCAGGGCTGTCCTGGACTGAAACAGGGCAGGGATGGATGGGATATTGAATGGGAATGGGAATTCCTGGCTGGGAGGGTGGGCAGGGGCTGGGCTGGAATTCCCAGGGCAGCTGGGGCTGTCCCTGGATCCCTGGCAGTGCCCAAGGCCAGGCTGGACATTGAGGCTTGGATCCACTTGGTCTCACAGAAGGTGCCCCTGCCCATGGATGGCGTTGGAATGGGATGGGATTTAAGTTCCCTTCCAAACCATTCTGTAACTCCACGATTTCTTCTGCCACGGCTCCGAAAACACCTGCAATGGAAGGGATGGACCAGGAGCACCAGGGCTCCCAGGAGCGAGGAGTGTGAGGAAGGGGCAGCAGGAAGCTGAAACCCAGCTGCCACCACTCGCCCGCAGAGCGCGGGAGAAGGAGCTGTGGGAGCAGATCCGAGATGGGCTGCCTGGCGATAAGGAGCGAGATAAGGCCGAGATAAGGCCGAGATAAGGCCGAGATAAGGCCGGGAGGGCTGGACAGGCTCCAGGAGGATCCAGCGCGGAGCGAGACGGGCAGGGCGAGAAATGCGGGCACGGGAGGTGGAGCAGCCGCATCGGGGCTGGAAACGGGGTCACGGGAATGCCGCGAGAGGGTGAGGATGGTCCAGGTGGCACCAAAACGAGTGTGAAAATCAGGATTTGGATAAACAGGACTTTCCTCCTTCCTTCCCTGCCCGGTGTTTCCCTGCGCATCCCAGGTGGGAAGGCAGGAGACAGGAATCCCCCCTCCCTGCCCCATCCCGCGCCCCACGTGGCTCCAGCCGCGCTAATTGCATTCCGCGGGGCACTAAGCCACCACTCGCCCGCAGAGCGCGGGAGAAGGAGCTGTGGGAGCAGATCCGAGATGGGCTGCCTGGCGATAAGGAGCGAGATAAGGCCGAGATAAGGCCGAGATAAGGCCGGGAGGGCCGGACAGGCTCCAGGAGGATCCAGCGCGGAGCGAGACGGGCAGGGCGAGAAATGCGGGCACAGGAGGTGGAGCAGCCGCATCGGGGCTGGAAACGGGGTCACGGGAATGCCGCGAGAGGGTGAGGATGGTCCAGGTGGCACCAAAACGAGTGTGAAAATCAGGATTTGGATAAACAGGACTTTCCTCCTTCCTTCCCTGCCCGGTGTTTCCCTGCGCATCCCAGGTGGGAAGGCAGGAGACAGGAATCCCCCCTCCCTGCCCCATCCCGCGCCCCACGTGGCTCCAGCCGCGCTAATTGCATTCCGCGGGGCACTAATTGGATGATCGGATCAAAGGCGGGAGCCCATCCATATCTGCCCGGCGCTGGATGCGATTATCCGGGAGCAGGCATCGATCACCGCCGCCGCTCCCTGACCCAGCGGGGCCCGCGCAGGTACCGAGCCCGCGCTGGTGGCGCCCAAATGGGATTTGCTCCCGAAAGGTTAAAGGAAGGCGGCAGATGACAAACGACGGCGGTGCCGCGTCTGCCGGGCGCTCATTCATCTCCCGGCACGGAGGGGCCGCCCCGGGATGCGGGCGCTGCCTGCGGGGACCATCGCTCACTGTCACCGCGACGTGTGAAGTGTTAAAGACCCCCCGGCGGGGCACGGGGCGCTCGTTTGTATTCATTAGCCACCGGCCGCAGATGCGGCGGGGAGGCACCGAGCCGCTGCTCGGCTCCCCGGCAAGCGCTGGCACCTCGTTTCTCCTCGCCTGCTGGCCCCGGGGACTTGTTGCTGCCGTCCCGGAGGAGCTCGGGATGGCTTTTCCCGAGCCATCCCGAGGGGCCAGGGGGGTGCCAGGGAGGTCCTGGGACGCCTGGAGCGAGCCCGGAGTTCTCTTCTCCCTCTCTTGAGGCTCGGTGTGGTGGCCCCGGGGCTGTGCAGGGCAGGGGATGCTGCGTCCCCGCAACAGGAGCAGGAGACAGCAGAAATTTTTGGGAGCAGCTGCTGCCTCGGTGCTCCTGGGTTGGAGCTGTTGGAGGCGGAAATTCCCAGCTGGAAATTCCTAGGTGGAAATTTCCTTTCTTCTGCTCCCCGGGGAAGGTTGGGGCTAAAATCCCTGGCTGAGGGAGATGAGGGCAGCCTTTGGCTCCTCTCCTCCTCAAACCCTCGGCTCTGACCTTTCCCTCGGCCCCACCGGGCCTTTCCCGAGGGTTTTCCAGGCAGGGCCCGGGCTGTGGCTGGATCTCCAGGCGTGCTCCTGCTCCCGGCTGTCCGCTGCAGGACGGGCAGCAGCCTCCAGGCTCTCCTGTCGGGACAGGTCTTCCCTCTCTTCCCACCTCTGGCTTTTCCTCTTTTCCACAGGATCGTGATTGGGAGCAGAAGGAACCCACAAAAAAAGGAGGAAAACGGCTTTTGGGTGAATATCCTTAATATTGCCCACTCTGAGGGGTGAAGCCTCTGCCATGGAATGCTGCTCCTCCCTCAGTATTCCCAACCTGCCTGAATCCAGGGTTTTTCCTTGTTGGGACACAGCTTTGGGGTTTTTGAGGCAGTGGGATTTGCTTTATAGGGAGTGATCAGGGAAACCACAGGTTATTACCCAAATTAGCCTTTTTGGTGGGAATCAGACACCTCTGGGCTGGGAAGAGGAAAATCCTGGCTGAGGTTCCCA